TTTTATTCGAAAACCGTTTCGAATGAAGCAATATCACTTTGGAACAATGTGGTACAAAGTCAGAACAATCTGGAACAACTTTCAAAATTATAAATTTCAAAAAGTGGGGTGCCAACTTCATACACTCGGTGACCGCCGACTCTTTCACGAAACGATCGTCGAGATGCCGCGGAACTTTAATACAGGACAACACTAATAAACATTATAAAGTTCGGATACCGCAACTCCGCGCAATCGAGGAATTCTACGCTGAATCCCATTCGCGAGCACGAAATTAATCGAAATGTACAAGACGGATCACTTGTCGTCCTATGTAGCGCGAAAACCCAGCAATTGACGACCATAAACGGCCAAAGTCTACCGTCGGTCGAGACAGCCGATGGGTAAGAGAACGGAGCAATCCGGAGATTTGCAAGCAAGCGGTGTAAGAAATTTTATAACCGTTTGTTAGCTTAATAATGTCAGATCAAACGATAAAGCAATATTAGATTATGTAAACAGAATTAAATCAATAACAACAGACGACAAAGGAAAGGAAAGGTCCAAGCAATATATAAATAACAACGATAACGCCGGACGCGCTCTTCGACTCTAAACCACAGGTAGCAATTATTTCAGTTTGTCAAGTTTCAGATTATATATATTGTTGTAAACGCGTGTTCTGCTAATTAATAAACTATTCTGTTCTGTTTTCTTATTTAGGTGTTTCCTTAAATGTTGGATCGTCCTACGATGAAAAACCTTACAGCTAAAAATTTCAGAAGTGGGATTACGAAGTACGTGTCCTTGAGTTAAAATTAAAAAAAATAAAGAAAGTAATTAGAGTATAGATATATATATATGCCTGTGATCACTCGGAGTCGAGGAGCCGGTTCTGGGGATAGTTCGGCGCCAATGGATCGACGACAGTTAGATGAGCTGACAATGGAACAGCTCAAAGAAGAAGCTGCGAGATTGCATCTACCGACCGCAGGCACTCAAAATGATCTGATTGACGCAATTATCACAAGAATAGAAAGAAATTCGCTGATTGAAACATCGGATTTGACTGATCGGACGCTCATGTCGCAACCAGGGATATTATGTTCCTCTGCACCATCTGTCATATAAAGGGAGATGGATCAACCGGTACAAGCGGATGATGGTCTAAATCTGGTGGTGGATTAAATCAGGTGATGGTCTCTGTTGCTGCCTGTATGCAGCAGCAGCAGCTTTTAATTCAACAGTTATTAACAATATCAAATCAATCGGTCGCGCAATCGTCTGTTCCGTTACCGCAAGGTAACAATATATCGAACATAGATGCGCCAAGACCGGATATGGAGCCCCAAAATAATATAACAAATTGTTGTCCCAGAATAATATAACAAATAATGTGTGTCCGCCGATGTTGGGATCCATTTCGCCCGCTAACGCAGTCTCGTTATTGGAAACGCAAATTCCAGAGTTCGGCACGAGCGAGAGCGAAAATGTTCAAGTATGGGTGCAGCGGGTGGATCAGATTACGCGGATACATGGTGCGTCTGATAATCTTTCTAGCAGCAAGCGGCAAATTAACTAAGTTAGCTCGAAATGGTATGATGCGCAATTAGGTCGAGCGAATCTCGATCAGGATTTAAGTCGGAAATTGTAGGCATGATCGCGGAAGTTCGTTCTTTGCAATTATGAAGCAAGTGGAAGCGCGCAGGTGGATTTCAGTCAAGGAAACATTTAATCAATATGCGGTAGAGAAACTCGCGATAATGAGTCGGCTAAATATATCGGAAACAGACAAAATAAATTTGTTAATAGGAGGTGTCTTCCAGACTTCAATCCGAGCGTCTGCTTTATCGTTAGGGCCAATGCCGATAAATCAGTTTTTAGATAGAATGCGTTATGTCACCGAAGGTGTATTACAGCTGGAGAAAAGACTATTAGATAAGAACCGCGATAATAGTCAAAAAGATAAATGTAAAAACTGCGGAAAAATTGGCCATACGCATATACATTGTAGAGATCCAGTAGTTACGTGTTTCTACTGCAAAAAGAAGGATCATAGGAAGGATGAGTGTTCGTATCTTCAAAATATAAATCCACAACGATTCGTACCGAATGATGACAAATACAACACCAAATACAGTAGCGCAGGTAGACTCAGTAGCATCGGTGGAAAAGGATTCGACTATAAGGTTGGAGATTACAGCACCCTTTATTTTTATTGTTAATATAAATGATGTAGATTGCGATTTAACTGCACTGCTCGATACAGGCAGCCCCGTCTCTTTTGTTAGATCGGACGTTATAGATCGTTTTGTTACCAATTCATTGGCTTTGTCTACGGTCGTGGAAAATAAAGTTCAAACTCTGAACAATCACAACATAGAAATTCTAGGTTTGACGAAAGTAAAGTTACAAGCAAAGGAGTTACCAAGTAATATTTTCGAAGTTGACTTTCATGTGATCCCGGAAATTGCGTTTAAGACGATGCTGCTAGGCTCGTTTTCGTAGAATACTCTTTTCTTCTAATTGCATGCATAAAACTGCAAATGCTTTTACAGAGTGAAAGTATAAGCGATAACGAATGCCGCATACTAAAAAGTTGCATCGAAATCAACAAAAAATTTTGTATTTACTATTGAAAATGCGATGCAGGTGTCATATTTAGTTTCATGTGACAAATTTAGAGCTCATACGCTTTAAATACATAGTATGCGGCATAGAGAAGACTTTCAGGAACATTATGAAGACATCGTAAGTGAATTTTAATAGATAATTTAAATAAAAAGAGAATTCCAGTAATAAACGATATGTGTGCTAGCGTTTAATGGTTACGTGGTAAAGAAGACTTGATTTTTAGTTCACGCATGTCCTGGAAGAAAGTGCTGCATCTTGAGCTAGCTATATATATATCTATACGAAACAAAGACGATCGTCAAAATGTCACATTTCATAAGCGTGAACATGTTCGCGCTACTGTTGCGCCGCAGTATTTTTTCATATATCGTTCCTTCACAGATGTTATGCAAGTATGTGTGCTACGTTGTTATTTCAATTTTCTTACATATAGACGGTACGTAAATGTGAATATTACGTTGCCGATATTCATATTCTCTCCAAGAGAGCCTTTTGCTGCTTTTCTGATGAATTCTTCAAACCGCTTATGTACTGCACTGAGAGAAAAAAATAATTGGAATAACTATAATCTCACTATATTTTATAGTTCGTTTTGGCCTCAAACATATATTTATAGTTCATCTAAACATGAAGATATAGTAGAATGAACACAGATTTATAGTCACCATCTTATTATTTTATATATATGATAAAGCACCTTTTAGGAATATAGTTATATGTATCTATATTTGCCAAATATTCCAATTGCATTGACTATATAAAATAATTAATTTCTCTTATTTCTCATTCAATATTTGCCACTTTATTACTATATTTTTTATAAAATAATTTTATCAAATAATTTTATTATATATAATTATTATATATAATTTTATTATATATAATTATATATTTAATATATTTATTATATATATTTATTATATTTAATTATATATAATTATTATATATAATTTTATTATATATAATTTTATTATATATAATTTTATTTTTATCAAATAATTTTAATTCTTGGTAAAAATTTTACACGGGTCAGTTATACTATGTTTATATTGTAAATATTACAAATATTATGGTAACATTTACTATAAAAATTATATTCCTAACTATAATCTTTTTACTATGCCATTATAGTTCCAAATATCATATATTTTTCTCTCAGTGTGGGTGCATCAAAGAAAGAGTTTTTTCGAGAAATATGTTATACGCATTAGAGTAATTTACGAATATTGTTGTAACGGCTCAGTACCGAGTCGTCACGAACCCGTCCGACCGAACATCAGTCGGACGGGAAACCGGCGCCTAGGCGCCATCTAAAGCTACCACTACTTCACGCGACGGAGCGTTTCCGCGCCGCGCCGCACCCCGACTCTCAATCGAGAGAGTATATTACGCGACCCCGCGCGAACGAAGACAGATTCCACCGAGGTAGTCAATCCGCTTCCAAACCGACTACCGAGGCCCGCGAGACTTCTCGCCTCCGAAGACGAGCCTGCTCGTCGCTATCCGCGAGTCTTCTCGCCTCCGAAGACGAGCCTTCTCGTCGCTATCCGCGAGTATACTCGCATCTAGTCCGTTAACGAGGATACTCGTTACCAGCTACACTTCCACGAGAATTCTCGTAGCCACTCCATCGGCGAGTCTACTCGCCAAGCCATTCCAAGGACAAGGCTTCTCGTCCTATATTACATCTTGGCGAGACTCCTCGCCGAAACCAGGATTATCATAGGACAGGGGTGCGGACTGCCGCGTCTCCACCAGGACTTCTTGGCTCCTACGGGATAATTCCCCGAGTAACTGCGTCACGCGCCGATAACAACGACACCTTCCGCGACGGTTCTTAGAGGTCACCAAAGGATAGGGGTGCGGACTGCCGCGTCTCCACCAGGTCTTCCTGGCTCCTCACGAAGCTACCTCTCGAGTACGACTGAACCCACGCGAGGTACCGAAGTACCGCGAACCGTCCCTTCGAAACCACAAGCGTGTACCGCACTGCCATTCGGGACGACGTCCCGCCTAGCGAACTAATTATATTACCTTGTATCACCATACATACTCATCTTGTGTTATAGCATTAAATTACTTATCTGTTTCGTCTTTTCAAAACCTAATAATAAATATTACATATTTTAAATCCACCATCTCTGATTTATTCTTTTGCGAACTCGGCATACGGCGAGCATAGATCCGTGGCATTTCCGGAGCGAAGGCCTACCGTCGCAATTGGTGCCCGAACAGGTAGTACAGGAAAAAAAAAAGAATAAATAGGAGGGGCTTATGCTTTCGTGGATTTATAAATTAAGAAAGGACGAAATAATATAATACATAAAAGACGCGAAACTCGAAGCATCCGGAAATCTAGACGACTTACGGAAACGACTACGCAAATTTGTAATAGAAAACCCGAATTTCATATTCGCAAAAATGCAAAACACAGCCAGGACAGCCAGCCCCGCGAGCCGCGTCACCATAAACGCGAACGATAGAGTAAATATAGACTCAGCTACAATTCTCACACAAATGAGAAAATGGGGATGTGTATTTGATGGGCAAGATCCAGTATCCTTCTTAGAGCGAATAGAGGAACTACGGGAAGGGTACGAGTTCCCAGAGGAATATTTGATACGAGGATTAACAGAAATATTAAAGGGAGAAAGTTTACTATGGTACAGAATGTGACGTGACGATTTTTTTGTATCGTCCGTCACTCGGAAAGTAGTGAGGAAGCCGAAAGCGGGCTTCCCGGCTGCAGGTGGATGTCGCGTCCTAACGGTAAGGCGAATAGGACGCGAGCCTGCGTGGCCCGAATTTGGTGTATAGAATAAGAGTGCGGGTGACGAGAGGTCGGGTCAGGAGGAAGAGGACTTCAGGGAGGATCTGCTGCCGCCGAGGGAGAGAGCAGTCAGGCTCAGGAGCATCGGACGGACCAAAAATCTCAGGTGAATCGCTCCCTTATTATTATTAGCAAGTAAGGACCGACAGTTGAATCCGTTTTAAGGAGGCCTGTTTTAGCCGAATACCCCTGCTAACGAGGAGAACGGGGACAGAGAGAGAGAGAGCTGCCGAGGTGGATCAGTCCTGAGCTGCCGCAAGGGAGCCGCTGGGACGGAGTCGACGGACACCGCGGACGAGCGGA